GAATGTGGATGAGCAGTTGAAGGAGGAAACAAGTCGTGGTGGTCATCGTACGGAGGGGGCTCAAGTACGCGCCCAGCACTGTAGCGTTTGCGGTGAGGCCGGTCATAATGCATGAACCTGTCAGGTAGTAGTAGTAACCTCTGAAGAAGAGGATTCTATATAGTTTCAATTGATTTGGCATTGTGGTTTAGACTGCGACCATGGTAAAGAATGCATGTGGAGGTTTAGTGGCCCGTTTGCTATGCTGGCCCGCTCGCTATGCATGTACGTTATGTCTCAAGTTGATTTCTTGGGACATAGAATTTCAACAGAAGGCATTCAGATGGATCCTGAAAAGACAAAAGCAGACAATACAGTAAATCGACTATCACATACTTCCACGTCTTTTCCAAGCTTCCAAGCATTGATCTTGTTACTCCTTGTTTCTGAAAAGTCAGTGAGGTGTTAACCTCTGACTTACCCCTGAGTTCCCAGACTCAACATTTGTTGCAACTTGTCTGAACCACTTCACTACATCACACACCTGATTGCTGCGTTGTGGAATAGTCTAAGCTACGACCCTTTGGCTCTGTTTTCTAAGACAGTGTGTTGTCTTAGTAAATTCATCCCTTCCTTGGGTGGCTAGATTCTCACATCTGGTGCACCCACCATTACAATACACCATCTATAAGAACGAAATTGTTAATAATGGACTCTCATGTCTCACATGAAGTTCCAGAGTTTATAATACTTGCACATCAACACAATATACACTTACATGTGTTTCCGTCTCATCTTACACATATTCTACAACCGCTAGATGTTACTGTGTTTGCACAATATAAACATTGGCACCGACGTGCAATTCAACAAGCAATCCGGAATTTTGATACAGATTATAATGTTATATCTTTCTTTAGAGACTTGTCTACTATCCGTAAGCAGACATTTACAAAGGGTAACTGTATCAAGTCTTTTAGAGATGCAGGTATTTGGCCACCTAACTATGAAAAGATTCAAGAGAAGGTTGCTATATATGCAAAACCAGAAGTTTTAGAAACACCACAACGCGCATTTCAAGCAAGTTATGATCTTTCAACATGGAGTCAAACATTTGATAAGATCCTTAGTTCACCGTCACGGCAAAAGTGGGCGTCTTCTTATACTGAAATCCAAACTCAGTTAACAGAGGCTGAGCTGTTCCAGTCAGAGCTAGTACAAATTACTACTATTATGACTGAGCAACGACAGCGGAAGGTTAGAAGTCGGAAATCTATTCAAAAAGGTGGTGCTATTACAGTTGAACATGCACGGCAAAGGATTTATGAGAAGAAGGTAAAGGAGCAACTTTTAGAAGAAGCACGGGAGAAAAGAGAGAGAACACGCATGGTGAACGTTGAGCGTAAGATGCAGCTCCATGCTGGCATCGATGCACGGAAGGCAGAACGTACACGGAAAAAGGACCTACATGAATTTCAAAAAAGTAACCCAGACACGGAGCCACCAATTGGCTTACGTACAGAAATTATTGACCCGGACGTTACACAGAAGAAACATGAGGAGGAGGAGGAGGCGGACCGACTGTTAGCCATCGAGGAGAGTGGGTACGTGAACTTTGCAGGCTTGGACTACGACATGATTCACGATGCAAGTGACGGTGGCTGTGATGATCACTGCCTGACAATATTGATCCAAATCTTTTTTAATTATTTAATTCTATAACTTATATATATTTACAGCATTGTTACGTTGTCAGTCGTGTTCATGGTCGGTCGTGTCGCGTCGCGAGTCCGCTCCCGAAGTGTCCCACAATCGCTTTCGCGTCCCAGTTCGCTTTCGCCAACCGCCTCCAGGCGGTGGTTTGAGAACCAACGATTATATTAGATTCTACATACTAATGATATCTGGCTGGCGGGATGAAATTTCGCTTTCGCCGACCACCTGTAAGGTGGTCGGTGCGAACACCGACGATTACTTATTCTTGTGATCATTTACTATCACGTGTGTAATAATTAGTCATAACGTACATGTATAGCGAAAGCGCCAAACAAGCGAAAGCGCCAAAATTATCTACCCTCACGACAAACATTGCGATAAATCTACCACAACATTAGAAATCAATTGAAACTACTCGGAGTCCTCTTCCTCAGAGGTGTCTATTACAATCTGACACGTGCGCGCATTGTGCCCAGTCTCACCACACTTGCCACAGCGACGGGCACGGGTTTCTTCCCTTGGCTTCCGACCACGGCTTGCCCTTATTTCCTGCTCTACCTGCTGCACAACATCCCTCTCATCCTGTAGCTCTTGCGCCCCTTGTTGACTAAGTGATCCTCCTTGCTGTAGTCGTGTTTTCCTAGCTCTCCGGCGCTTGCTTAGTACTTCATTTGCCTGTCGTAGGTTTTGGTTCTCTCCCTTTAGCAGTGCTAATTGATGCATTATTTGCGATGCACCCTTTGTAAACTGGTCAACAGCTGCATAGATTGAGGTTGGAGAGCTATTTTGATGGCGTGAAATCCAAGTTTTAATAAATGTAGACTGTGACATAGCTTCAATTGGGTTGTTTGGTGTCTGAGAAACCCAAGGTTGAGCAGTACCTGGGCGGGAGCTTGGAGGCGTTGGTGTCCTTAACTTAAGATCAAGTGTAGATATCACTCTCTCAGGGTCAAATGGAAGAAGCCCTGCCCCTCGGAACCCGCCTCGAATGTTACTTTCCGTCATTGTAGTGTTAAATGCAGCATGGAAGGCAGGAAAGAAGTCATCCTTTGTAATATGAGAAATATGAGCCTGCATCATATCTTCAATTTGCCGACCATAGGCCTGCTTTAACGGGCCGAAACAGCCAACATCAAGTGGCTGGAGTAGATGAGAAGAGTGAGCAGGCATACAAAGCGTAATAATGTTGTGTTCCTTGCAGTACTCCTCAAACTCATCTGAGTGGTGGCTCTCATGACCATCAAGGACTAACAAGCGATAACCACCAACACTCCGGGCCTTTGTATGCTTCTCAAAGTGCTGAATCCAATCCATGCCTCTCTCGTTTGTAGTCCAGCCATTTTCAGTAACAGAAATCACCCAATCGCTTGAAAATCCACTATTCTCATACCAAGATGTAAGGTGGTTTTTGCCTGCAACAATGATAAATGGTGGTACTGCCCAACCTTGAGAACTAACGCCTTGGATTACTGTAACCCATTCCCGATTACCAGGCTGTACCTTCTTTGCTTTTGCCCGCCCGTCTGAGCTTGTTACAACCATAGCAGTTGAGATAACGCCCATCATAAACCCAGTCTCATCAAAGTTGTAGATATCTGCTTCATCGATACCATATTTCGCAATTGTGTTACGCACAAGCTCAAACCAGCCATTAATAACTTCTGGATCTTTGCACTTAGCCCTCTGGTAGTCGTATTTGCGCTGAAAGCGTGTCTGGAGCTCTACACGCCGCTTAACAAAGTTTGAAGCCCAACGCGACCCAACGCGTGACGCGTCGCGTGTTGCAAGTAGTCGACTTGCCATATCTTCAACAACAGACAGCCGAGGAGGAAACCCTTTGGCAGCTAGGTCGAGTATATACTGAACAAGGACGGACTCCTCTAGGTTAGTTAATTTCCGTGAGTTGGCTTGGATATCGCGTCGTGAAGGTACACCTTCTAGACGACGACCTAGCTTGCGGTGGTCCACAGAATAGATCCTAGCAGCAACTCGAAGGCGTAACTTTGGGTCGCTTTGCATAGCTTGGATAGCTAGCACTAATTGGCTTTCATTGTTTTTATGGGGCATGTTTTGTTGTTGAGGAATTTAACATTTAGTTGGGGGGTTTGGTCACCGCATCATTTTGGCGCTTTCGCTTGTTTGGCGCTTTCGCTATACATGTACGTTATATGTCTTGGCAATATATGGCCATATTGTTGAAGTGCGCTTGGTAGGTTCAGTAGAATAGTAAATAAGTAAGGCCCAATTAATCACAATGCATAAGTTATCGATTAAAGTAGCTACCATAACTACTCTATATACTGTGACACCGTTCCCCTGAGCTAATTCAGGGGCCGGAGTACCCTGTTTCACGAGCCTAAGGGTGAGGCAGCTCTGGGGCATCAGTGAAACCAGCGCCCCTATTCCAGGGCACGGAGTGAGAACTCCACACATATATTGCCATATGATATTGCCGTATTGTATTACAGTCAGATGGCGTAAGGCCATATTGTATTGCCAAGGCCCATATTGCAATATACTGCCAAGACCAATATACTATTGGCAACACTGCTTACCACCGTCGCCCAGCCCGACGCCAATGGCCGCGTCATTGGCATGTAAGGTCCTAGGCGGCTCGTCGGCGTAGAACCTGATGACCTGGGATCCCGGCAGCATCAAGGACTATGATACTTGGGAGGAGCTGACCCAGGGTAGAACTGGAAGAGTATCCAGGCAGCCATGCTAAAGGTCGAGAAGTTCGTACCCTCGCCAGAGTATGTCGGCGACGGAGTCGGCAAAGGAGGTCTTATCCAGACTCTCATGAACCGCATCCTGCCAACGCACTAGCTAACCTTTATCCCGACCTTAAATGGCCTCGGCGTGAAGTCACCGTCATCTCCGCTGCCAAGGAAGTCATTCTCTCCGCTGGTTCATTTCAATCCCCCGGCCTCCTCGAGCTCTCCGGTATTGGCAACCGCGCTGCCCTCACCGCCGCCGCAGTTCCAAAGGTCATTTCCGACCTCCCTGGCGTGAGTGAGAATCTCCAGGACCACACCCGTATACAGTCCTACAAACTCCTCCCCAACTTCCACACTTTCGATCGAACGCATCAATGCCACCTACGCCGGACTCCAGCTTGCGCTGTACAATTCCAACCTAGCCTCCGCCTACGACTACACCGGTAGTGGCTAGGCATACCTCAACTGGTCCCAGGTCTCCACCTCCACCGCCGACCTCCTCGCTCTCGCGCGTCAGTCCGCAACCTCTCCAACCCAATTGATGCCAAGAAGCTCGCCTTCCTCTCCGATCCCAAGCTCACACCCCTAATGTCGCAGCTCGAAATCATCTTCTCCGATGGCTACACGGGTGTCAAGGGATACCCCGCCGCTAATGCCCCCTTATTCGGATCGGAGTTCTTCTCACTCCTCGCCGCCTCCGTGCACCCCTTCGGCCGCGGCTCAGTACACATGAAGTCGACGAACATCAACACGCCGCCCGCTATCGACTCCAAGTACCTCCAAAACCCATACGATCTCCACTCCATGATTGTTGCCGCGAAGTTCATGCGCAGCATCGCCACCGCAGCACCTATGTCCTCAGTTTGGACTACTGAGTACGAACCTGGCAGTGCGGTAGCCACGGACGCGGATTGGGAGGCCTACGCCCGCGCTAACACGCTGAGTATTTACCACTCCGTCGGGACTTGCGCGATGCTTCCTCGTAAAGATGGGGGTGTTGTGGACCCGAAGTTAAGGGTTTATGGCGTGAGTCGGCTAAGAGTCGTGGATGCTAGCATTATTCCAATTATTCCGGGAGCGCATATCTAGACAGCCGTTTATGGAATTGCGGAGATGGCGTCGGATATTATTGTTGCTGCGTGGAATTAGAAGGGGGTATCAAGTTTGTTACAGTCAGAGACGGAGGAGAGTATATAGATAATTTACTTCATTTTTCGGGGGTGGGGCGTAGAGTCGACGCGCATTTGAGATAGTTATATACCATTCCTGGTGGGTTTTGGCAATCTTATAGATATTATATCGCCTATTTAGCTTTTAGAGTCAACGAGATATATTTTCCTCGCTACAAATCAGCTTTGGGGCGTCTACAACGTATCTCCAGACGCATCCTACATGTTTTACGAAGACATTGAGCAGATTTGAAGAACTAGATCGTGACATTTTCCTAATAACAAGGCCATTTACGCAAATAATCATCCGTTCCCTTAAAGGGAAACAATGGCTTGCGTAATTTCAGACATAGAGCTGATTACCCCTATCCAACCCTTCCTGCAATCCATATCAAATCCTAACTCCACCAAATTGTTCCTCCAAATCCGTCGCACGTGTGATGCCACTGATAGCCTGGTGATCACGACCACCCACCGGGGAGCCACATTGTGGGCATTGCGAAGTTTCCATAGGCATACCGCACTCTCCAACAGTAAACGGGTGGCCATTTTCACAGTAGTACCAATGTCCGGTACCTCTAAAGTTCTGTGCCATCACTGCATACACGGCAGCCTTTTCGTCATTGCTCACTGGCATATAGAATGTTGAATCACGCAGCATCTTCTCTACTTCCTCAACTTCGTCTCTCGTGCCTGCTGTTTGCCTAGGGTATTTATCACATAATTTGTATGCAAGTTTCAGATGGTCTCGGGCCTCATCTAAGAGCTGTGTAAGCTCTGGTCCAGGCTCTTTGTGACTCCTCTCAAGGGCGATAAACCGTGCCCAGTATAGATGACCCTCGACTTCGTTCCCAGGTTGGTTTTTCAAGTGAGATTCAGTTATCAATTCCTCACACTCCTTTCTATTGATGCTGAAGTCGACTCGGATGTTATTGGAACTTGCTCCTGCCTCGTATTTCTGATCATCGAGGAAAGTCAAGAGAATGGTATAATCGCATCTGATACGCAGCACAGTCGTGAGAAGTCGGTTCCGGACTTGAAGAATATCGATTTTTGAGTGCAAATCAATATCAATGCCACGATGTCTCCGGGCATCTTGAACGAGGTCATAGATGCGGCCGAAGGGTTGCTCTTTCTCGTTGACTTGCTGTACAAACTTGCTGATCTCCCATCGAAGCTCGATAATCGTTTTATATCGATTCTCTTTTCGCACAAGTGTTCCGATTTTGGAGACTTGATTATTGGGGGTCCCGTTTAAATTGATTTGTTGTGAGGAAGGAAACTCCGTCAATACCCTATCAGGTACCTTGCGGTCGTCTCTAACAGTTTCGCGGAATCCGGTCTCGATTGCTTGCATTCTTGTAACAAGAGGGATAAACCCCATGTTAGCCCAGACAATAAACTTCTTTGTTGACTCATCGATCAATGCTCGGCGAACAATTCGACTATAGCGGTTGAGATTTCGCAGAGGGCCGCGGCAAGTTGGGCAGCTTTTCATCTCAGAGGAAGAGAATGGCTCGGCGCTGTTCTTCACGTCTATAATCGACCCTTCGGCATTAAATAAATAGAAATCCGACATGCTCATATGTCCATCCATACTCACCAGGGTCAGCATATGCCCGCATGGCGGTATAATGCATGGGTCCTCATCAAGATCGATCTCCTCAAAAGTAGTTGACATGATAAAGTCAACGACCATCCCCTTGATTGTTGGATGCGCACAAATCTGGCAATACGCAACATCTCGGCAGACCTCCCCACAAATGGATGGACATCGGTGCCCACAGGCCAATATCTTTGAACAGCGCTCTGAGCATGGTAGCAGATCACAAGGAACTGCACATGGTAATGGGCACCGTCCACGATGTGGACAAGACCATGAACAATCTTCGGCACATGGTGCGCATGGCTCATGGCATAGCTTGCTGCATTTCGAATGATTGCAGCTAACTTCGCATGGCTCTGTGCAAAGAGGACAGGGCATATCACCATGGCATGGAGCTTTGCAGCTATGACTGCAGGTCGTGTATGGTCTTCCACATTTGGTATTACAGACTCCATGTATCGTCTCAGTGATTAAACCATCAATCCTAGTATTGCAATCTTTGCAAGCATGAGTGCAGTTGTGCCCGCAAGTCAGCGCTGCTCCACATGTTGCCGAACAGGGGTAATCGACATTTAAAGGAAGTTCATAACAAGGGACTCGGATTTGATGTTTGCAATGCTTCATAACTTGTTCCATGCGGACCTGGCAATTAACTTTTCCTGGTGTCTGCGCCTCGTGACATTTCAGGTGGCCGGCGATGTGCCCACATGGTAAAGGGATGTTGTATACCACGACTTGGCATTCTTTCTCGCATAGATCTCCGCAGACTCTCGGACACTCATGCTCGCAACCTTTCTTTGTCCTTGGGCAGCGTTCAAGACAACGAACTGCTTTGTGCAAAGATGATGAATGGCACATGTTAATGCAGGAATGACCACATTGTAGCCTCGATGAACATCTCTTGGCACAGCCGCCTTCGGGGGCGAGCCGAGAAAAATCGTCTGGTACTGAGACTTCAATAGGCGTCTCTTTATGTCGAGGACAGCATAGTGCGAGGCTTGGGCCGATGTTGTTTGAGCGTTCTAAAACGGACAGTACTTTAGCCCACATGGGAACAGGTCTCGAAGTATCAGAGTTGCCGATGATGTACATGCCATGTCGTGCACGACTCAGCAGCACATTGATTCGATTGGATGTCTTCAAGAATCCACATTTCTGGTCCTTGTTGCTTCGAACTAAGGAGACCACAATGACTTTGGCCTCTTCGCCCTGAAAATTATCGACTGTCGCAATTCTTAAAGAACTTAGTAGTGTCGTTTTCTGGATTTGGATTCGGCCATCCTTGGCCTCTGGGTCGTCTTGAAGTCCCTGAGCTTGTAAATCTTCTTGATCTCGATCCCCAACAATAATCTCAAAGGAGTTCGCTAATCTCTTCTTGATTTTCTGCAACTGTCCGAGATATGGAGTAATAACTGCTATATCCTCAGGTCCATATGTTCCTTGTCTGACAAGGTGCGAGACGAGTGAGGCGACCATTTCCACTTCGAAAGAGTTGGTTCTGGATAACGAGACAGCTTGGGCATTTCGAGGGTCTTCATTCTCCTGGTGGTTAAGCCAGTATAGGCGATGCCGCATCCCATCTACTTCTGGATATTCTGACACTGAGGGGTGATCTTGCAAGTCTGGATAGAGCGGGACCCTAACGAGTTCGGAGATAGAAGGATGCATTCGCCGCTGAGTCTTCAATGTACTCAAAGGGACTTCAAAACTCCCCGTCTGAGGTTTCACGAGACGCTCAAACAGCGAAATATCGAGGGAGTATTTCTTGCCTCGGGGATTATCATGTTGAAGCTCGAAATTGTTGATCTGCGGCCGGAGTTGCTCATGGTCGCCGATCAGGATGACATGCTCGACTCCAGGTAAAAATGCGGTGAGAGTGTGTGCCTCAAGAACCTCTCCTGCTTCCTCACATATCATGACTTTTGCTCCCACGCGCTGAAGCAACTCGACGTTCCTTGCTAACCCAGACGTTGTTACGCCGATAATATGAGCTTCTTGAAGGCATCGAAGATCTAGTTCACTGTGGCACTTATCTAGCGCACTTTTCGACTTGTTATATGAATCCAACGCTTGAATGAGAATATTAGAGAGTCGGGAGATGTGCTGGTCAATCCAATGTTTGTAAAGAGCAGTACGCTCTGACGTCGACATCTCTCTCAAAGAAATTGCTGTAAGCTGAACAAGAGGTCGGTTTGAGTCAAGCTTCTTCGGTGCTCCTCTGAGCCAACTCTCTACAACCCTGTACTTCTTGCCTTTAACTTCCCGGAATCCCTCGTCGTCAACTCCCTTGCCAAGCAATTCCTTGAAGTGACTTCTGTGGGTTTTCATAAGATGGGTTTGAATGTTCGTCCATGACTTTGGGTTATTTAACCCAGACAAAATTTCTTCAATTTCTCGAAGCGTTTCTCCAATGGCCTGGTTATGCTTCCATTTATCATGTTTTTCCACTTTCGTTGGCTCAACCTCTTTCGCTACATGGCGGATTGTGAGGTTTTGAAGCATTTCAGACTTCGATCTTGATCCAAGACGGATGACTTGCTCTGCGCCATCACTCACAAGATGCTCTAGCAACTGATCAAGAGCATGATTCGTGTAGCAGACGCAGATGATGGGACCTAGATTGGCTGCTTTCCGGTTTTTGAGTAAAGTCTTGATAAGCGCTCCACCAGTGTAGCTCTTTCCAGTGCCAGGAGGGCCTTGGATACAAGCCAGTCCTAAACTAAGAGCTTGGATAACGGCGTGTTGCTGGGCTTCGTCAAGCGTGGACCCTTCTTCTAGCTTGGTGTAATCGAATGGTTGTCCAGGGGTAAGAGATAGTGGCACCCTGGCGAGAACATCGAGGCTAAAGGTAAACCCTCTCTTCGTAGCATATGCTGGGGGGGTTATGACGACATCAGAAGCCTGTGTATTCGGTGCAATAATTTCCGCAAATGGAAGGTCCAGTGTCCGGCTCATTTTCTGCAAGGCTTGCAGAGTTGGTTGAAAAGAAGGTAGTAGCACCCCTGGGAACTCAACAAGTGATTGTCGCGCTTTAAAAGGTCCGATGTGAGTGGCAATCCAATTAACATCCTCTGATTTATATTCAGCTAGGCTCAGTAGCACAGACGCGCGATTCGCATGTCTGAAAAGGCTCGGACTATCGTCTAGTCTCCTCTTATCATCTTGGTCAGAGCCCTTTCCCGGAAGTATAGGATTGCAGACACACAGGAAGATGATTTTTCCATTTGAAGATACAAAACAGACGAGCGAATCGGCCTCTAAAAGCTTACTTCCCTTCCACCAGTCTTCTCGCTGCTTGGCAGATTTGTTCTTTATTTGGATGGGTTGGTCGAAATCGACTACAACTTGGAGACCCTTTCTGCGATCAACACATATATGAGAAAAGCATGCGTTATGGTAGACGAGCTTTCGAACGGCTTGCTGGCCATGCTTTGCCGTTGGTTGGTTGGGGTTTGGACGTTCTAGTCTCATAATCTCTTCACGAACTGCATCCCGTAATTGGCCGACTGTATCTTCGCGGAGGAGTCGGAATTGTCTGTCTAGAAGCCCAGCGAGACCCAACAGGTGGTTGCGTGCGGGATCGATTAATGGGAGATACTCTTGTCGTTGGGAGGCAATCTCTTGAGCCGTAGGGAGGATCAGGATATCAGCTATACTTGCGTGGTCGTTATCGTGTCGAGCGCCGATGTTAGAGAGGTTGCCAGGCAAGTCTTGACTCAGCTCAAAAGTTGCAGGTGGGAGATTTTGCGGAGCTAATTGGGCTGGCGCAAAGGGCAATGAAGATCCGATGTTAAGACGACGTCTAATTCGAGTGAGGCTTTGTTGTGCGTTTGGTGTCATGGAATTCTCCGGGATACAAGCAGTAATCGTCTCTACGATAGGGTTAAAGCCTTCGATAACTTGGGCACTTTGGTTGATCTCGATAAGTCGGTCTAGAACTGCGAGGCTTGACGATATGGCAATGATGGAAGCTTCTTCGTCGCTTGGAGAATGTCCCAAAATCATTCCACTTAGAGCAGTTGCTGTAAAGCGAAACACACCAAGGCCACGTCGACCGCTGGGGCCAAAGAGAAAGTTGTAGATTGTATCAACAGGAGTCTCTAGTATCAGAGAGCATAGCACATCCGGGTGAGAGATGATCCTATAGAGAGGAAGTGTCATGTTTTTGAATATCGAAATGGAGGTCTCGTCCGTTCGGCTAGCATCCATGGTGTCCGTTATAGACTTGATGATCGAGAGTCCTTCCTCAGCTCCAAGTTTGGTAATGATATCCTGGCGTGTTCCTGCATCCTCGCTCTCGATGAGTTTCCAGCCTATCTGGAGGAACATATCTATGTCCATAGCAGCCTGGAAACACGAGTTATTTGTGTTGGGTCTCGGAATCATGTATTTCCATTTTCGGCAGTTTGCTTCAGCTTCAGTCTCCTCACGGGGCTGTATGTTTGAAGCACTCGGCGAGCCTCTGGTCGTCGTTGGTGTGTCATGGCGAAATCGGCAGTTGGTACCGCGACGGCAGTGGCCGCGTTGGAAGGCAAAGCAGGGTCCTGGTCTATTGTATCTTGAAGTTAGTGGTTGCTCTCATTGAAAAAAATAGAGTATGGGGACTTGCCGCATTCTGAGATGTGCGTATAGAGAGCGCTAGACTCGTCACGAGTAGAAGCTAGTTATGAAAAAGATGGATCGGAATCCAAATGTAGAGAACGAGGCAAGTGGCAGCTTCTCACTCTCGTGAGATAAATTCCACAGCCAAAGTGAATTCTTACTACACAAAAGTCCTTCCTACATGAGCTCTGCAAATAAGTCGCCCATTCCCATTCTCGCTACTCATCCCTGGCCTAATTGGCTGTTGATGTGCAGACAACCAACAAGGCACCCGTTTCTTTGTTTGCTTGTGACCTATAATAGTCTAAAACAGCTCATCACCATGCATGCATCTTTAGCCTCGTTCACTTTGGTCTTTATAGAATGAAAGGTGTAATCAAGATGCATCGGAGTTATTTGTGCTATCTGTGAATGCTATCTGTGAATGACAACACTCACTTGGATATCAGATAACAGCGGCAAATCACAAGGCAAACATCGCATAGATAGATCCGCACATTTTTAGTGTATTTAATAATCTTATTTATGGTGGCTATGCACCCCGGCCTTTGGTGAGATCCTTAATTATGCTACTGCATATTTCCGACCACTCATAAATGCAAATCCTGTCAGGCATCCACACTAACAATTTAATCGTGTTGGACGTGATTCAACCCGGCCTTGCCTAATTTCTTACGTCTATAATTTCTCTATGTAACACATTGTTTATTATTGTCCAAACAGCTATTTGAAAGTTTTGCGTTCCTAGTCTTGACGAAGCAATGGAGGACTCTCCACCTCCATACCCGGGACCATACCCGGGACCAAACGCCCAGGCACATATCCAACATGTTGACTCCGTAGTACTTCGTATCCAACTAGTCAAGCATTCACTAATCTATCTTAAAGGTGCCATTTTCAGATCCAGATCTGGAAACATTCTCCAATCCTCACGTATTGCTTATAAACGTTATCAAATCAGCGGATGGCTTAGGTGCGACGGTGATTCACTGCTGGACAGCCCGTTCACCCAAGTCTTCGATCACCATTTACTCCAAGCTTGGCATCAATAGCTTCCAACACGTCCTTAACTTCCGGGAATTGGGTAATATTTACTCTATCTACTGGAACCGAACCTTCCAATGTCCATCAATGCCTAACCTCTCTAATCACGGAATATCCGACGATATCTTCAGACCCAGAAATTACTCCACATATCCTGGCACAGCTTTCATCTCTTCCGAAAAATGAAGGCCTATCAGTCCAATTGCTCTCTATGCCCGTGTTTGGTAACAGCACAGAAGGGTTGTTGACTGATGGCCCTACCCCCTTGTGGAAATGGGCAAATCCTACAAGTTTATACGGACGGAAGACGGGATTCTGGAGGTAGAGTTGGGGAAGGCAATTGAGGATGGTGAATGGATGGCGGGAAAAGGGTTGCAAATACTAGTGAAGGGGGTCCCCTGAGGGAAACGCAGAGGAGTTGAGGAAGCACAGGATGAAGTTCGGAATCCGAAAACCAACTGCGCAAACAAGTAATGATTCAGGCGGAAATTAATGGTAAGTTATTGATTTTCTGTTTTCTGTTTTTCGAAGCGGGTAACTAGTGTTCGGCACGGATACTAATATACCCGTAGTATCCGGGTATATCCTCGAGTATATACCTACCCTTTGATATTTGAAGAGTATCTGGCGTATCCGGATACTCTAGAGTATATATCCGGATATATGCCAATACTAGCCAAGCGTAGCCAAGACCTCTTTTTGCAAACGTCGTAAGACCTGTCTTGATGCTGTATATAGTATAACTATCCTCAGAATGAGTAACTCATCGTTATTAGATATACCAACAGAGCTATAATAGCCGAGTTAAACTCTCATGAGGTTCACGACCAGCCAGCAATGGGACACCCTGGAATTGGGAAGCTGATTCGAATCATTAAGAGACAGTACTACTGGCCCCGGATGGACAAGACTATCACTCAATATGTGAGGAATTGCCATACCCGCAAGAGATCAAAACCAACCCGGGACGCATACAATGGACTCCTACAACCAATCCCAATTGGAAGCCAACCATGGAAGGACATATCACTCGATTTTATTACAGGATTATCATTATGTGAAGGAAACAATTCTATCATAGTAGCATGCCGACTTACAAAAGAGCGCCATTTTATCCCATGCTTTGCAGGTAAAGAAGGCACTACAGCAGAAGCTACAGCGAGGTTACTACTCCAGCATGTATGGAAACACCATGGTTTACCAAATTCCATCATCTCAGACAGAGGGCCCCAGTTTGTAGCTGCAGTGTGGAAAATCCTCTGCAAAGTTTGGAAAGTTACAATCAAATTGTCTACAGCCTTCCACCCAGAAACGGACGGGCAAACTGAAAGATTTAATGCAGAACTCGAGCGATATTTACGGGCTCATGTCAACTATCTCCAAGACAACTGGGTTGAATATCTTTGCATGGCTGAATTCGCAGCAAATGCCCTTCCATCAGACTCAACAAAAGTTAGCCCATTTTTTGCAAACAAGGGTTTCAAGCCAAGAATGAGCTTTGATATAGAGGATAGCACGTTCCAAACTGCCCTTCAAGAACATAAGGACATAGCTCAAAACATGAAAGATATTTGGGAATTCCTACAAGACCAGATCGCCCTCTCACAAACCCGAATGGAGCACTTTGCAAATCAAAACAGGAAGCCAGCACCAAGATATAAGATAGGAGACCGAGTCTCACTTTCTACTCGGAATATCAAAACCCAACGACCCTCAAAGAAACTTGACCATAAGCAAGTTGGTCCATTTCAAATCCTTGAGAGAATTGGGAATGTTGCATACCGACTCCAGCTACCACCAAGCATGAAGATACACCCTGTGTTTCATAGCAACCTCTTATGACTTGACTCAGATGATGCTTTACAAGGCCAGCACCATGAACCACCCCTGCCAATCATTATAGAAGATGAACTTGAATGGGAAGTTAAAGAAATCCTAGATTCTAAACTCCTACAGAAGAAGCTGTTCTATATGGCAGCATGGAAGAACCACCCACTAGACAACACTTGGTATCCTGCTACAAACTTCAACAATGCACCTGAACTCACACAAGCTTTCCACCGAAAATACCCGCAGAAGCCACGATGATCTTACTCTTGATCAGGAGATCAATCTTACTAGGGGGGGGGGGTAGTGTTACGATTACAGCTCACAGCTTGTCACAGCTTGTTATGGTTGTTATGGTTGTTATGGTTGTTATGGTTGTTATGGTTGTTATGGTTGTTATGGTTGTTATGGTTGTTATGGTTGTTATGGTTGTTATGGTTGTTATGGTTGTTATGGTTGTTATGGTTGTTATGGTTGTTATGGTTGTTATGGTTGTTATGGTTGTTATGGTTGTTATGGTTGTTATGGTTGTTATGGTTGTTATGGTTGTTATGGTTGTTATGGTTGTTATGGTTGTTATGGTTGTTATGGTTGTTATGGTTGTTATGGTTGTTATGGTTGTTATGGTTGTTATGGTTGTTATGGTTGTTATGGTTGTTATGGTTGTTACGGTTGTTACGGTTGTTATGGTTGTTACAGTTGTTATGGTTATTACGGTTATTACAGTTGTTATGGGGATTACAGGTGTAGCCTTAGCCACAAGGTTACAACCCCTAAGCAGAGAACTGTATGTTATGAGGAATAGCCTCACCTTCCTTCCTTCTTCTTCTTCTTCTCTCTTTAGATTCAATCTAGATTACTTTTCCTGGACTGGCATCATGACCTCTATGACCATCGTAACACTGCTGATAGGTTGCGGGACCGTTCGTTAGTCCAAACGGCAGCACTTTGCACTTATAGGATCCATAGCGAGTCCGAAAGGTCATGTACTCTTCCGAGTCGGGGTGCATCCATATGCGATGGAAGGCTTGTCTGATATCTAGCTTCGTGAAGATTTTTGCTTTTGACACTCGTCCTAGTAGTTCGTCGATACACGGGATGGGGTAGGGATCGTTCCGGGTGAGACCATTTAACTTCCGGTAATTGATGCAAAATCTTAATTTGCCATCCGCTTTCTTTACGAATAGGATAGGGGACGTGAAGGGGCTGTTGCTGTTGACGATGAAGCCTTTCTCTAGGTTCTCTAACAGGTATTGCTTGGTAGCCTTAAGCTCTTCGGTGCCCTGTCTATATAACGGGGAGAAAGCGTTTGGTAAAGGGGCTTCGAGCTGTATCTTGTGGTCGTATATGCAGTGTGGGGGGATTCGATCCGATTCCAACTTCGAAAAGACATGGGTGTACTTCCGGTGCATATGCGGAAGCTTCTGCTGGATGAGGCGGAGCGTTTCTTCATCCTCTACCAACTCCTTTTCATGGATGATCTGGTCAATTTCGTAGATGCTAGTCTGAAAGAACTCGGAGTCGCTTTGCATCATCTCGTGATGAAAGGCATTGGCACTGATTTCGCATATCCGTATGGGTGTGAAACTAGGTACCAGTTTTACTAGTAGTGGGGGAGAAACCTCTTGGTTTCGGGTAGGACTCAGGGGCATATCGGTGATCTCTTCATAGCCTGAAGTTATCACTTTCATGTTCATCGAGCGTCCGCCTGCGCGGCGTCTGTCTTCGCGGTGGATTGCAGCATCCCTGCGATTCGCATCCGGCTGGTATGCGGGATGTCGAATGGATGTTTCTCGCGTGTAGTAGGGCAAGGTGATCTCCTTGCTCCAGCTAGGAGTCAGCAGGTACTCCTTTGGCCATACTAACTGGCTCTTTGCAGAGTCAAGTAGTATTCGGAAGCAGCTGAAAAGCTTCTTCCCAATTATCACATCTTGTGCTCCGAGGTCCAGGAGTACAAAGGGGCAGTTATATATCCGGCGTCCTTCAACTGTTAAGTGTAACCAAATATACTCCGATACATCGCCTTGGATTCTGCACTGAAATCCACGTATGGGTACAGAGTAGGTTAGTTTCCGTATGTGGCTCTGAAGCGCTTTCGACAGTCGTATTGCGAAAGGCTTGTTAATGACGAGGTAGCCATTTGCTCCTGTGTCTGCTAGGGACTTCGTTTGCACCCCGAGTCCATTCATACTCAGGGTCATGTCGACTAAGAACTCCCAGGAGTTCTCGTAAGTCTAGTCCTCGCAGGTCACATTTGCGTAGACCTAGGAAGGAGCCTTCTCCTAGGCCTCATCGTTTTCCTCGAGGGACGCATCCGATTGAAGTTCCACGGCTTCTTCCCATTGTTCTTCTGCCTCGGGGTCTCCCGAGTCGTTCCGGTGTGGGATATTATTTAAGTACGGCCGTCCCCGGCAGGCGTGATCTTTTTTGTATAATGTAAGGACACAGGGCACCCAGCTCACAGTAATAGCATATGAGAGTGCAAGTCGGAGGCTAAACGGATGCTATCCTATAGGTCTACTACTTTCACCAGTGGGAGTAAGGCGTATACAAAAGGTAGAATGGATAGAAATGTACTACAAAGAAAGGTTACGAGCAATGTCGCAATACAACATTCAAAGCGCATGGTTAGGAGCGGGTATTTATCCATTCAATCCTCAAAATGCATATAAACACTTACCAACTTTACACACCCGCTCTTCTATAACCTCAACAAATGCTACTACACCACCTCCGCAAACACCAAACCATCACTCATTGCTCCTTAGTGTTACGATGGTCATAGAGGTCATGATGCCAGTCCAGGAAAAGTAATCTAGATTGAATCTAAAGAGAGAAGAAGAAGAAGAAGGAAGGAAGGTGAGGCCATTCCTCATAACATACAGTTGTCTGCTTAGGGGTTGTAACCTTGTGGCTAAGGCTACACCTGTAATCCCCATAACAACTGTAATAACCGTAATAACCATAACAACTGTAACAACCATAACAACCGTAACAACCATAACAACCGTAACAACCATAACAACCGTAACAACCATAACAACCATAACAACCATAACAACCATAACAACCATAACAACCATAACAACCATAACAACCATAACAACCATAACAACCGTAACAAGCTGTGACAAGCTGTGAGCTGTAATCGTAACACTACCCCCCCCCCCTAGTAAGATTGATCTCCTGATCAAGAGTAAGATCATCGTGGCTTCTGCGGGTATTTTCGGTGGAAAGCTTGTGTGAGTTCAGGTGCATTGTTGAAGTTTGTAGCAGGATACCAAGTGTTGTCTAGTGGGTGGTTCTTCCATGCTGCCATATAGAACAGCTTCTTCTGTAGGAGTTTAGAATCTAGGATTTCTTCAACTTCCCATTCAAGTTCATCTTCTATAATGATTGGCAGGGGTGGTTCATGAGCCATGATACTCATAATGAGCTAAGTCTGCCAACACTGCCTACTTCTATTCGACAGGATATTGATCCTACGCTACTCCGGCTCCAGCCTCTGGGACGAATGCTGCCACTAACAACGTCGATACTATTCACAAAGCTATTATATTCACGATTGATACTTGATAGTAATCCACCTATGGTTAAGATGACCTTCTTGTAACCAAACTGTGGATATTCACCTACTCTGCAACTATTAAGTCAAACTTTGACTAGTAATCTTTAGAAGCACTATACCTAGAAGCATCTAACAGTAGCATATACAGTACTAGACCACTGTTATTAACCGAATTCCAATTTGACGTGTAAATCGCGTCATGTAACCCACCCCTCCTTGTACAACAACCATAATTATGCCACTAACTCAGAGGGCTTTAGCTCTAATTAATAGGAATCGACAGCCTAGTGGCTAATTAAGCCTATACTAACGCAGGTAGATTGTCAGGAGGCAGTCAGAGGGTGCAACACCTACTAAGATTGCACACAACCTAAACCTTAACCGAAGCACCATACGATATACAATTGCAGTTGACCTAATACTCACCAAAGGCAAGAGTCTAGCCTGTACACCATGGGGAAAGTCATACACAGAAGCAGAGCAACGCCTTATACTCTGCCACGTACACCTAAACCCAAAGCATACCAAGAAGTGAAGGATGCTTGCAATGTTGCTTGCTTAACATCAACTATAAAGAGGATACTACAAGAAGCAGGCATAGGCAATTAGTGTGCAAAGTGTCGCCCTTTCCTACTGCTAATACATGTAGCTAAACGGCTTGTATGGTGTTTAGCATGGAGGAATTGGACAGCAGAGGATTAGGGTCAAGTTGTGTGGAGTGATGAGTGCTCTGTTAAGCGGGGGTGGGGTAACAGAAGTGAGTGGTGTTTCTGCACACCTGCTTAGAAGTGGCAGCAGGAGATGATCCAAACCTACAGTACAAAGAAGAACATGAAGACCATGGTTTAGGGGGCCTTTAGGCAGAAGGCCGGAGCAATTTATACCTTATATACTGTGACTTTGAGTCAAAGAAGTTTAGATATACTGCAAACTCATACCTTGAGGTTCTAGAAGCAGAACTCCTCCCTATTTTCAATAGTCTTGTGTAAGGATGCCTCCTTACTCGGGTTAGTTACGGTCGTCACGTGGCGCCCTCGAGACTCGGGGCCATTACGGTTCAATCGCAACTGCGAGCCTTAGGCACATAGCGTAGGGAAACCTTAAGGCAAACAGGGAGTTAGCAGAGTCGGAGGGGTTTCGGGTATTTAAGGGAACAGGAACAGAGGGTTATACCTTCATCTTTTTTGTATCCTTCGTAGTAGACCTCTAGGATAGAATACAGCATCACCTCTGACCCGCACTCCCACATGCACCTACAGAGAGCCGTATTCCCTGTGCCCTTACATCTTGACTCTACCTACTCATTTATGCAAGATAATGCTCCTATCTATACTACGGGTAAGGTTACAGACTTTCTTGAGGAGCATCTGATTACTACACTCTATAGGTGGCCACCCTACTCCTAACCTCAACCTAATTAAGCACATTTAGTAGCACTTAAAAACCTAGGTGTGTGAGATGTTCCCTGAAATTGCAAAGGATAAATCAAACTCAGAACATGCAAGACAGCGTCTAGAATCATGTTTGCAAGCAGCATGGGACACATTAGAGAAGTCATTGTTTGATAAATTGTATGAGAGTATGCCGAGTAGAATTGAGGCGTGCATTCAAGCAGACGGGTGGCAGACAAAATATTAGAATACTAATTTTTATACTATATACTATAGGGGCTTATTTCGTAGAGCTTTCAATTCTAATTACAATGGATGACTTTTTACATCTATCGCTCTAAAATTTCATATGTTACGAGCAAATCAATTATCTACGTTCGGTGGCTTCGTGGGTGGTTTTGCAATTCAGTTAATAGCAGTGGTCGGTGACTATACAACGGAAAGTCATCAGAATACACTGTTAAACCCATCGAGTAGTGCATCGTCGTTCTTTGAGCCACAGAACCAGCAAATCCAGCCTATTCAAGCATCAAATAGTAGAGCGAAATACTGGGAGTTATTTGTTACGGCTAAATGCTAGTGCTAAGGCTAGCGCTTACGGCTGCAACCTCACATGATGGATAACATTGGATATCATGGATATTATGTTATCCATGTTATCCACGGGGATCCACGGAATATCAGGTGATGGATAACATTGGATATCATGGATATTATGTTATCCATGTTATCCACGGATATCCCTTTGGCACGATGCCACTATATAAGTAGATAGTATTTCCTTAGATAGG